TGATCGATCACATCCGCATCGCAGCCTAGTAGCTCTAAACCGGTCGCTTGTTGTGCGCTTGTGGTGTGATTTCCAGACACTACAGATGGCATACACTGCACCCCCTCCACCCCCTCCCCCACCCAGAGGGGACAGAAATGGCACAATTACTAGATCACCACATGCTTACTGTCAATCCTTGTGTTCACCACTGGGGGTCATAGCTGATGAGATTATTGCTTTTTGTCTGTAACCGAGTCATTAATCATCATGATAACCTCACTATTAGTAAAGGGTTTGAATAATTAATTCGACCAAATTGTGAACAATTCGGCGGCCTCAGTGGGATTCCATTCCACGCCAGCAAGGGGGAAGGATTTAGTACAGTCAATGCTCTAACCAACTGAGCCGCGAGACCCCCGCCGGTAGTAGTGAGTTTAATCAAATTTAGTTCGGGGTCTCGTAGCTCAATTTGCTAGAGAGTTGACCTTTCCACATGCTGGCGTGGGATCGAGTCCCGCAGGGGTCGCCAAGTTGTTCATAATTGGGTCAAAGTAATACAGCACTGTTGTCGGTTAGTGGCATAAAGCTTAGTCGATAATTAGACATGCCGTCACCGGGCCTGATGGTTACCTCTGGTCGGTTTGCAATTCTAACTCCGAGCGGTGTGAGAAGGCGGCTAACGACTTCCGAGACGTTCTTCACGTAGGCTAGTACTCTCCAAGCTCTCGCCCTGGTTGCGTATACAAATATTTAAAAAAACTTTCTTGCGTATCCGTTTGGCCTGAGGTACGGTAATTCAGCAACCTTATTTTCTGGTTCGATGCAGTGGATCGTAAACCGCCGATATAGCGCCCGTGCGCAACTGCATTGATGACTGAGTGTTCTCACGAGGGCTGACAACCGCGAGAGCCGTGAAAGAGGGTTCTCTGGTCCGCAGTTGATTAATAACCATAAAGGTCTTGCGGCTCCACTGTCTCTGCCGCAATTTAGCCTGGGCAAAATTACCAACCATGCGGGGTGGGGG